AGCACATGAAAAGATGCACATCATTAGTCATTAGGGAAATGCAAGTCAAAACCACAAAGCGTAATACTTTGTGCCTATTAGGATAGCTAATAACAAGTGTTGGCAAGGATGTGGAAAAACTGGAACTCTTGTGCATTGCTGGGAGAAATGTCAAATGGCACAGTCACTGTGGAAAACAGTTTGACAGTTCCTTTAGAAAGCTAAACATATAATTTCCATATTACCCAGCAGTTCAACTCATAGGTCTATACCTAAAAGAACTGAAGACAGGGATTCAAACAAATACCTGCAGGACAATGTTCACTGCAGCATTATTCACCACAGCTAAAAAGTGGAAACCAACCCAGTGTCTATTGATAGATAAATGGATAAACAAAATGTATGTATGTATCATGGGATACTATTCAGCCATAAAAAGGATGAAATTCTGACATGCCTTAACATCAATGAAGCTTGAAAACATTATGCTAAGTGAAATAAGACACAAAAGGACAAGTACTGTATGATTCCAACTTATATGAGGTATCTAGAACTGGAATATTAAAAGAGAAAGAAAGCAAATTAGAGGTTACTAGGGGCTGGGTGGAGGGGTTAATGGAGAGTTATTGTTAATGGATACAGAGTTTCTTTTTTGGGAGAATAAAGTTCTGAGATTTCCAGTTTCCAGCCTGGCATGTAAGGAGATTAGAAGTTACCACTCTGTCCTAACAACAAGTAAAAAGCTAAACAACTGAAAAATCAACTACAGTACTCTTCTTAGATCAGAGAATTGAGGTCATAGGGAAAACTGCTGCCCCAAAATTGGAGAGACAGGCATATACGAAGAATAACAACTTAACAGAGCAGAAACCTCTGTAGGAACCAGTGCCAGAGTAGGAAAACCTGAACTGTAGCTGACAAACTGCCGGAGACTCAGTGTGAAGAATGAGAGAATGAAAACGCATCAGAACCAGAGTCAGATATGGCAGGGATGTTGGAATTACAACTATGATTAATATGCTAAGGGAACTAATGGAAAAAGTAGTCAAAGTATGGATGGATGAACAGATGGATAATGTAAGCAGAGAGATGGACATTCTCAGAAAGAATCAAAAAGAAATGCTAGAGATAAAAAAAAATATGTAAGTGAAATGAAGAAAGCCTCTGATGGGCTCATTAGTAGACTGGACATGTCTGAGGAAAGAATCTCTGAGCTTGAGGATATAATAATAGAAACTTCTAAAACTGAAAACCAAAGAGAAAAAAGACCGGAAAAAAAACCCATAACAGAATATCCAAGAACTGTGGGACAACCACAAAAAGTGTAACATTTATGTATAGAAGGAGAAGAAAGAGAGAAACAGAAGAAATATTTGAAGCAATAAAGATTGAGAATTGCCCCAAATTAACGTTAGACACCTAACAACAGATCCAGGAAGCTCAGAGAACACTAAGCAGGATAAATGGCCCCCAAACTACATCCAGGTGTATCACATGCAAACTTCAGAAAATCACAGATGAAAAAATCTTGAGAAAAGCCAGAGGGGGAAAAAACATTTTACCTATGGAGGAGCAAAGATAAGGATTACATCTGACTTCTCCTCAGAAATCATGCAAGCAAGAAGAGAGTGGAGTGAAATATTTAAGTGCTGAGAGAAAACTCTACTAATCTAGAATTCTGTACCCTGTGAAATTATCCTTCAAAAGTAAAGAAGAATAAAAACATTCTCAGACAAACAAAGATTGATGGAATTTGCTGCCAGTAGACCCGCCTTACAAGAAATGCCTTTCAGAGGGAAGGAAAACAATATAGGAAAGAAATTCAGATCTACATATAGAAAGGAAGAGCATCGGAGAATCAATAATTAGAAGGCAAAATAAAACTTTATTTTTCTTATTCTTAATTAGTCTAACACATAACAGTTTGTTCAAGATTATAAATGGCAACAATGTATTTGATAATGTATGCTTATGTATACACACGGTTATGTATAAGTGAAATAAATGATAGCAATGACACAAGGGATAGGAGGGAGGAATTAGGCATATTGTGCTATATTATAAGGTACTTGCAGTGAACCAGTATAGTATTATTTGAAAGTGGACTTAGATTAGTTGTAAATGTATAGTACAAACTCTAGGGCAAGAACTGGAAAAAAATTTAAAAAGAAAAAAATATATAAATGATATGCTAAGAAAGGAGAGAAAATGGAATCGTAAAATGCTCAATTATAACCACAAATGGCAGAAAAAATGTAAAATAATCCAATTATATTAATGATCACTTTAAATGTCAATGGTTCAAATACATAGAGATTGTCAGAGCGGATCAAAAAAAACAAGCCCCAACTGTGTGAGGCTTGAAACCAACTTTACAAGAAACCAACTTTAAATATAAAGATACATATAGATTAAAAGTAAAGGGATGGAGAAAGATATACCATGATACCACTAATAAGAAAGCAGGAATAGCTATACGAATTTTAGAAATAGCACACTTCAGAGCAAGGAAAGTTATCAGGGATAAAGAGTGGCATAATCTAATGATTAAGAGGTCAGTATTCCAAGAAGACATAACCAATCCTCAAGGTGTATATTCCTAACAACAGAGAGCCAAAATGTGTGAGGCAAAAACTGATAGAACTGCAAGGAAAATAAAAGAATCCACTATTATAGTTGGAGACTTTAATACCCCTCTCAGAAAAGGAGAGATCCAAGCAGGCAGAAAATTGGTAAGGATATAGTTGAACTCAACAGCTCCATCAATCAACTGAATATAACTGACATTCATAGACTATTTCATTCAACAACAGCAGATCACACCTTCTTCCCAGACTCACATGGAACATTCGCCAGATAGACTACATCTGGGCCATAAAACACACCTTAACAAATTAAAAAAAATAGAAATCAAATGATGTCTGCTCTCAGACCATGATGGAATTAAACTAGAAATCAATAACAAAAAAGATAGCTGGTAAAGCCCAAAATACTTGGAAATTGAACAACACAGTTCTAAGTACCACATGGGTCAAAGAATTCTCATGAGAAAATAAAAAATATTTTGAACCAAGTGAAAATGAAAAAGTTCTGGAAATGGATACTTGTGGTGGTTGTACAACACTGTAAATGTACTTTATACTAAAGAACTGTACATTTAAAAATGGTTAAAATTATAAATTTTGTTTTATATATTTTTCCACAATAAAAAATTTTCTATACTTACAGATGAAATTAACAACTATTAGTGTTCAAGGTTTAATCCCTCAACATTCTCTAATAAATCCAGTACTTAAACATTTCACCATTTAAGGGTATAATTTTAATTAGAACTCAACCATTTAATAATTCTTAAATGGTGTTATCTCCAAAATTAATTTTGCTATGATAATGGATTGTTAAACATCCATTTCATACTCTTCTTGAATAATTAAGGACAGACCTTTGTGATTGTTGTGAAGGAAATAAGAAATCTTACTTATTTGAGCTATTTCTACAAAGGCTGCAGGAATATAAAATTTCAAGTACCTTTTAACCATCAGGTTTAATATACTGAAGTAAAAATATCCTGATATAAGTTTCTTTAAAAAAAATTTCAACAAAAAATGATATACTTTGTTCTGCTCTTATATTTGCAATTGAAAATACTATTAATTTTAGACTCTTTTGAAAAGGAAAAGAGGGTTTTCTTTTGCTCCGGGGTTTAAAAGTTGTATCCATGGAGCCATGAAAATGAGGATCACTGCCAAGTCCTAATGTTTAAAATAATTTATCCTTTTGTACTATACTCATAATTGCCTCTAATTTGAGTATGGCTTATTTTCATACAAATTTAAAATGAGGTGATGGAATAAAGTGCTTAATTGAAGTTTTAACGAAGTTTTACTCCAATCCAACTCTTCACCATTTTCTTGACAGTATTCATGTCTCATTCTGTACTTCTAAAAACTACATACCAAGATATTCTATAGCAAATCTGTTACTAAATATACTTACTTTCCTACACATCAATTACCTCCATCTTTACTACACATTCAAATCTAATCAGCATGCATATATTAGTTGTTCTAACCATTACTCATTTAGTAGGCAATTTCCAACAGTATTCTAAAATGTAAACAAAAGGCATCAGGGGTACCGAATCAATCTTATAAAATATTTGAGAGGAATTCTGAAGTTCCTTTTCAAAAGAGTATAAGGATAACACTGTTTTCATAGGCTATTAATGAAGTGTGAAGAGATTCGATATCAGGCAACATGATAACAGAGTACCAAGTAAAATGATCTATGATATTAAGTTGGTTACATTCAGTAGTAGTTTTGAATAAATTGAGGAGTAGGAAGAAGAAGAGAAGATAAAGAAATGTTGGACAAGGTTTCACTTTAAAACAGTGTTTCTCCCTAAAAAACTTAAACATGGATTGAACACACACAACTTTATTCTGAGGTATGTCTGTGTCACTAGAGTGATTTTTGAATGCTGGTGCCGGCTACAGCAAAATGGTGGTGTAGGTTTTAAAAGACATGGGCCATCAAAACCATTCCACTATATCTCCCATAAATATTCTAAGGCAGTAAAATCTATTTTAATGAATTAATGCTTATTTTATCTGCTATATTAGTTTTAGTTAAAATTTATGAGAGAGCACGTTATATTTTAAGTGATTTGTAATAATTTACATTTTAATTTTTTTCCTCTCCATCAATCAATATAAAATCAATATGTATCTCTCCGTGTATGGGGTCTTGAATTATAATTTCACCAATCTGAACATATACAGAAGTTTTTCAATTTGTCAGGTGCCCATCTTCTTGAAGGCAAATGCTTTGTTAAGACTATAACTTTCAATCATATCATTAAGGAAAACAGAGTTTACTCTGCAACAATACTGTTTCTGAAGACACTACTGGGTGAAGAAAGGAGTACTCAGAAATAGTTCTTGATCAATTAGATGACTGGCTTACATATTTTATGTATTACTAAGATTTTAACTCTGAGCACTTTTTTTCTTAGCACTTACTTTTTTGGTCAAAGAGTCATCAGAATCAGAAGGCATTCTTGTTGATACGTGAAATATTACTTCAACTGTAGAGGTAGCAAAATATGGTGTGGTCAATCCAGTGCTTTTATTTCTTTGTAGTCCTCCCATGAAACCGCAATGGTTTGTAAGATTTACCTAGAAGCAATGAAAAGACACATAATATTAATTAACTAAACAAAACTAAAAACCTCACTATGGAAAAAGACTCAAATTTCTCACTTTGCAAAAACATGAGGAATGAAATCTTCTGCATGTTATCAACTATGGCTTGACCCAGAATTATTAGTTAGAACTATTCAAGTCACACTGGTAGATTTTCTTAAGTATTTGAGGGTCCCTAATTAGTAGGAACTAATTAGCAAAGAAATCAATCGCTGTGCACTATGCATCTCTTGTTAGGCTACGAGGTGCTAAATAGTAATGGCTGTGTGGGACGCCGAGGGCAGTGAGTAAAAACCAAGTGGCAAAAATCAAGACTGGAAATGATTTGGGGATAAGTTAAAACAGTAATGTCACTTTGATAAAACGATGAATTGTGTCATATTTACTCATTGAAATTGGCTTCCTAATTATTAGTACCTATCACAGCCCAGAACAAAAATGTAGAACTTAACTACACTTCAAATGCATTAAAAAAATACAAATTAATCTGTGCAAAGTCTTTTAAATCTCCTTTTTTCCTGATTATAAATATGATATATTTACTATCAGGATTGTTACACTGGACAATATCCCCTGGACTTGTGTGATGCAAAGAAGCCAGCAACTTGTGTACATTGTAGAAAATCAAAGAAATATTGTAAAGAAAAAACAAAATTTAAACACTGCTTGTATTTCTCCATTCAGAGAAACCAGTTATGCACCTGCTTGTAAAAAATAAAATATAAATATGTGAAAAAGTGGAAACCTATAAAGCAAATTTCTGCACTGTGTGAACTGAACACATCTCAACTATCAATATCAGTTACTAATGGCTGAATGTATGAATAACAAGTGAGTTTTCATGCCATTACTACAAGATTTCCTCAATCATTTATATTTTAAATTTATTTTTTAACTCAGTAATACATTCATACAATTAAAAGTTCAAAAGATACAGCAAAATTTTTCCTTCCATATCTCTCACCTCTAGCTACTCAGTTCCACTCCAAGAAAGCAATTTAAGTATGCTTCCAAAAATGTTCTCTATATACAATTAAATTTTTAAAGGTATGTATGCACATATACACATGTATGTATGTACACATGTGCACACACAACACGGATACACAATGTTCTGCACCTTGCTTTTTTGCATTTAAAATACCTTGAAAAATACTCCTTATTAGTAAGTAAAGAGCCTTCTCATTTTTTTTTTCATGGCTTCACATAAGTCCCTTTTCTTGATGTACAATAATTAAACTAGCGCTCTACTTGACGGATATTTAGGCTTTCCCAATCTTTTGCTATTACAGTCAATGCTACAATGAATAACACTGAACACATGTCATGCTGCATTTGTGAAAGTAGATCTGTAGGACAGATAGTCAAAAGTAGAAATGTAAGTCGAAGGGCATGTGCACATCTAATTTTGAAACTGACTACCAAATTGCTCTCCATAGATGGTACCACCAGTGCATGAGAGTGCCTGTTTCCCTCATATGCTCTCAAATATATTATCAAACTTTATGACCTTTGCTAATCTGTTAGGTTAAAAAATGGTATCTTAGTGTACATTTTTGTTCTGTTTTGCTTTACTGAGAAAGTTATATACTTTCAGGTCAATTCTCTGATTATGTAAAGGAGAAAGTCTCAGTTTAGTGCTCCTTTGCTATAAATAATTCTGTAACACTTGCAGTTCTCTATTCTTTAATTAAACGTTTTATCTGGAGGTAATTATAGATTTACACAAAGTTTTAAGAAATAATAAGGAGATCCTATGTACCCTTTACCCAGATTCCCCAATGCAATCATATTATAACCAGGATACTGATATTGACATGATTCAGAGACAACATTTTCATCACAAGGATTCCGTGTTGCCCTGTTACATGAGCAACACTCACTTCTGTCCTACCCTACCCTCCTTTTTAACCCCTGGCAATCACTAACCTGTTCTTTACTACTAAAACTGTCATTCCAAGAATGTTATATAAGTGGAATTATTTGGCATGTAACCTTTCCAAGCATTTGGAGATTTTGCCATTATCTTTCTGTTCATGATTTCATGTTTGATCCTACTGTATATGGAGAAAACACTGTATGATTTAAATGCTTTTAAACTTGCTGAAGTTTGTTTTAATGGCCCATATATGGCCTATCTTGGTGTATGTTCCATGGACACTTGAAAATAATATGTATTATGGTATTGGTGGGTGGAGTGTTCTATAAATGGCAATTAGATCCTGTTGGTTGGTGGTGGTGTTGAGTCCTTCTATATACTTGCTGATTTTCTGTCTACTTCTCTCAGTTGTTGAGAGAGGGGTGAAATCTCCATTTATAATTGTGAATTTGGCTATTTCTTCTTTCAGTTCTATCAGCTTTGCTTCAGATATTTTACAGTTTTGTTGTTTGCTGCACACACATTTAGGATTGTTAAGTCTTCTTAGTGGACTGACACTTTTATCACTGTTATATAATGTCCCCTCATCTCTGGTAGTTTTCTTTGCTCTGAAGCCTGCCTTATCTAATATTAATTCAGCCACTCTGGCGTTCCTTTGATTAAGGTTTGCACAATATAATTTTTTCTATCCATTTACTTTCTACCAGCCTATATTGTTATATTTGAAGTGAGTTTCTTTTACAAAGCATATAGGTGAGTCACGTTTATTTATTATTATTATTTTTTGCGGTACGCGGGCCTCTCCCTGCTGTGGCCTCTCCCGTTGCGGAGCACAGGCTCCGGACACGCAGGCTCAGCGGCCATGGCTCACGGGCCTAGCCGCTCCACGGCATGTGGGATCTTCCCGGACCGGGGCACGAACCCGTGCCCCCTGCCTCGGCAGGCGGACTCTCAACCACTGCACCACCAGGGAAGCCCCGAGTCATGTTTTTTAATCCACTCTGCCAATTTATTTTTATTTTTTAATATTTATTTATTTATTTATTTATTTATTTATTTTTGGTTACGTTGGGTCTTCATTGCTGCATGTGGGCTTTCTCTAGTTGTGGCGAGCGGGGGCTACTCTTTGTTGTGGTACGGGGGCTTCTCATTGCGGTGGCTTCTCTTGTTGCTCTAGGTGCACGGGCTTCAATAGTTGTGGCTCGTGGGCTCCAGAGCACAGGCTCAGTAGTTGTGGCGCACGGGCTTAGTTGCTCCGTGGCATGTGGGATCTTCCCGGCCCAGGGCTTGAACCCGTGTCCCCTGCATTGGCAGGCGGATTCTTAACCACTGCGCCACCAGGGAAGCCCCACTCTGCCAATTTTTAATTGGTATATTTACATCATTCATATTTCCTGTAATGACTAATACGTTAGAGCTTAAGCTCACCATTTTATTTTTTGTTTTCTGTTTTATTTTTCTTGCCCCCTATGGGTTATTTGAACATATTCTAGAATTCCATTTTTATTTATCATTTTTTGAGTGTACTTTTGTTATATGTTTTTTACTGGTTGTTCTTGGTATTATACTATATGTACATACCTTATCACAGTCTACTGATGTTGTCATTTTACCAGTTTGAGTGAAATATAGAAACCCTACTGCACTTTATGTCCTTTTACCCTCCCTTGTTTGTAATATAATTGCCATGAATATTTTCATGGCATTACATTTATTTTTTTGCAGTATGCGGGATCTTAGTTCCCTGACCAAGGATCGAGCCCGTGCCCCCAGTATTGGGAGCGTGGAGTCTTAACCACTGGACTGCCAGGGAAGTCCCTGTCATTACACTTAGAAACACATCAGGTAGTAAAATAATTTTTGCATCAACCATCAAACATAATTAAGAAAACTCAAGAGGAGAAGTAAATTTAGTGTATTTACCTATATTTTTTCTTGCCATGCTCTTTCTTCCCTATGTTCCAAAGTTCCTTCTATCATTCCATTTCTGTTAACAGAACTTCTGTCAGTGGTTCTTTTAGGGCAGGTCTGCTGACAACAAATTCTCTAAGTTTTCCTTCATCTGAGAATGTTGTGCTTCATTCCTTAGCTAACTATAGGGTTCTGGGTTGAGAGTTTTTTTCTTTTAACATTTGAAAAATATTACCTCCTCTGGCCACCAGTTTCTGATGAGAAATTCACTATCATTCTAATTGTACCCATATAGATAGGTACAAGTTTCCTCTGGATACTTTTGAAATTTTTTTGCCTTTAGTTTTCAGAAGTTTAATTATCATGTGTCTTAGTATGGATCTCTTTCCATATATCCTATTTGGTTTTCACCAGGTTCTTCAATCTGTAGCTTTATTAGCTTTATATTTCTTGCCAAATTTGGGAAGTTTTCAACATTATCTCTCAAAGTAGTTTTCAGACCCAACCTCCTCCTCCTCCTCTCCTTCTGGGACTCACAATAACAGGAGTGTTAGATTTTTTTGTCATAGCCCCACAGGTCTGTTCATTGCTCTGTTCACTGTCTTTATGTCTATTCTCTCTCTGCTGTTCAGATTAACTTTTACTGTTCTATGCTCCAATTTACTAATTCTTTCTGTACCCTCATCTCCACCTGACTCTGTTGCTGGGCCAATCTACTGGGTTTTTTATTTCAGTTATTGTATTTTCAATTCTAAAATTTCCATTTAGTTCTTTGTATCTTGTATTTCTTTGCACATACTTTCTATTTTTCATTTGTTTCAACTGTGTTCCTAATTGCTTTTTCAAGCATTTCTAATACAGTCACTTTAAAATCTTTGTCATCTTGGTGTTGGCATCTATTGCCTTCTTTTCATTCAGTTTGAGACCTTCCTGGTTTTTGGTATGAATTTTGGTTGAAGCCTGGACATTTTCATATTATGAGACCATGAATCTTATTTAAACCTTCTGTGTTAGTTGGCTGTTTTGCAACACAGCTCCAGAGAAGTGGGGGCTTTCAGCCTCATTATGGCCAGGTGGAGGTAAGAGTTCTGACTTCCTATGTGGTATCCACTGACACAGCAGTGGAGGTGGTCTCATTATCACTGGGTGATGGTGAAAGGCCTAATTCTCCACTAGACCTCCTCTGACTCCAGTGTAGAGGGGGAGAGGCACCTCACTATGCCTGGGTGGGGCTGAAATTCCAGGTTCCTCATGTAGTCTCCACTGACACTGTGGTGTTAGACATGGATGGGGGACTTGTTACCAGTTGGCAGAGATGAAACTCTTAGCTTTCTATTTGGTCTTCTCTGATACTATCTTACTCCAGGGTGATGTTCGGGATGCCTCATTATAGTCATTTATTTATTGACTGATTGATTGATTTTTGGCTGCGTTGGGTCTTCACTGCTGCACGCGGGCTTTCTCTAGTTGCGGTGAGCAGGCTTCTCATTGCAATGGCTTCTCTTGTTGCGGAGCATGGGCTCTAGGCATGTGGGCTTCAGTAGTTGTGGCACGTGGGCTCAGGAGCTGTGGCTCGCAGGCTCTAGAGCGCAGGCTCAGTAGTTGTGTTGCACAGGCTTAGTTGCTCCGCAGCATGTGGGATCTTCCCAAACCAGGGCTTGAACCCGTGTCCCCTGCACAGGCAGGTGGATTCTTAACCACTGTGCGACCAGGGAATTCCCCTCATTATAGTCTTGTAAGGGTAGAAGTCTAGCCTTCCTAACCCACTTTTGTTGTCAGGGGTGGGGATGAGGGTCACAGTATTTTCTGTGGTGTTTGGTTGGCGTAGAGCAGTTACTGTTTAAATGTTTTCTGTCTTTCCAGGTTGCTCCTTTCCTGATCCTTTGGTTAGAAAGAGTAGGCTTTTGTTGGGTTTTTTTTTGTCCCGTGCTTCTTGATATTTCTAGGTTGCTGGCTTCTTCAACTCCAAGTCCAAGATATATGAGGCAAAAAGAAAACCTGAGAACTCACCATCATGTCATTCCTTGGTCCTGAAGTCCTGCTGATCTATCTTCTTTTCTCCAACGAACCCGTGTCCCCTGCACTGGCAGGCAGATTCTCAACCACTGCGCCACCAGGGAAGCCCTTACCTGACTTTTTGATTCTAGCCAACCTAATGGGTGTGAAGTGGTATCTCACTGTGATTTTGATTTCCATTTCTCTGATAATGATGTCAAACATTTTTTCATGTACTTACTGATCACCTGTATATCTTCTTTGGAAAAATGTTTATTCTGATCCTTTGGCCATTTTTAAATTGGGCTGCCTTCTAATTATTGTTTTGGTGAGTTCTTTGTATATTTTACATACAAGTCCCTTATCACATATATGACTTGCAATTATTTTCTCCAATTCTGTGGGTTATCTTTTCACTTAGTTAATGGTGCCCTTTGATGCACAAAAGTTTAAATTTTGATGAAGTCCAATTTATTTATTTTCCTTTGTTGCTCATGTTTTAGTGTCATATCTAAGAATACCTTTTATTTGTTAGTTATGTCTCAATAAAGCTGGAAAGAAAGAATCCACTGCCAAATTCAAGGTCATAAAGATTTACCCCTATATCATCTTCTAAGAATTTTACAGTTTTAGCTCTTACATTTAGGTCTTTGATCCATTTTGAGTTAATTTTTGTATACAGTGTGAGGTAAGATTCCAACTTCATTCTTTTGCTTGCAGCTATCCAGCTACTCCGACACCATCTGTTGAAAGGACTTTCTCCACTGGATGGTTTTGGCACCCTTGTTGAAAATCAGTTGACAACAGACGTGTGGGTTTATTTCTGGAATCTCAATTCTATTTCATTAATTGATATATGTATCCTTAGTGCAAGTAACTCGCTGTTTGATTAGAGCTGCTTTGTACTAAGTTTTGAAATCAGGAAGTGTGAGTACTCCTAATTTGTTCTTTTTCAAATGTCCCTTGCTTTTACTAATACTTTTCTAGTTTGTTTTCTTAACAGGACATATATTTATAACATTTCTTTACACTTTCCAAACCACTTTCACATACATAATCTCAAATGAACTTCATATTATATATTTGTTGGGTAAAAAAGCATACTGCTTTTGACAAATAAGCAAAAGGCCAAGAGAACTCAAGTAACTCAGTGAAATAGCAGGTTAGATCAGCTATAAAAATATATATTGAATGCTAAAGGTTTATGCATTGGACACTGTGCAAGGACTGGGATTTAAAAAGAAAAAGCAGGAAGATGAAAGAGCCTGCCCTCTAGGAACTTACAGTCTAGTGCAGTGGTCTTCAATAATTTTGCTCATGTACTCTCTACAATAATATTGAGAAACTATGTATTAAATTGACAACTACGATGAAAATTGTCATCACAAGTTTAAGCTGTTACAAAAGATACAATTTCCAGTATACTGTATGTTATATCTATATACTTTAAATATATTTTCATCAAAATCTTAGAGCACAAATTTGGCTGATACAATATATATAAAATGTCTGCTATTAATGACAAATCAATCAGCCACATCAAATTCACTTTCTGTTAGAACATGTCTGACTCATAATTTTACAATTTAAATAAACATACTAATACAAATCTCTGTGACAAACACCTCACTTCTGAATTATAATTCTAAGATAGACAGATTTGGTTCAGGAACTTCAACATGAGTTGGTTGCCGGGTTGTTGGTTGCCGGGTTGTTGGTTGCCGGGATGACAAAAAATACAGCACCTTTCAATACTTCCTGCTTTGCCATTAGAGACACTCTCTCTCAGGAATATGCCCTCTTGAATGAACTGTCCCTTTTTTGGTGCCAAACCTTCCAAGACAATGTAGGATTCAGGTGAGCAACAGGTATGCCTTTCTTTTACAAAGATGAAGAACAGAAAAGGAGAGGCAAGAGACTGTAGAAGGGTTCTCCGGAATCAATTGTAGTAAAGTTGAGGATCTAGAAACTTATCTCCTCAAAACTAACCTAGCCAACATGTGCCCTAGAATCCTTGGGATAGCCCTAGGATATTCATATCTTCATTTGAAGATCACTAGTCCAGCGGTCACAACTGTGAGGAAAATCCAGATCTTTTAAGTCTAGGAGTTTAGCACACTCTGACAATACGGTGAATGATAAAACAGTCAAAAACCTTCCTAAGTCTCAACTGCTGCTGTCTTTGTAGATGAGATATAAGGCAGAAACAATATCAAACCCATTGTTATGTTGTTAAGTCTCCTAAAATAATGCTTCTAAAATAAGCTAGAAAGAACAAGAAAACCATTGCTTCCAAATAGAAATAAAATGATATTTGTATAATTTAAAAACAATACCTCCCAACCAAGACCAGCTACAAAATCTTCATATGCTTGACTTCCTCCTGTATTGGTGAGAATGGAATGTTTGTCTTCTTGTCCTTCAGCAACATAAAATACTGCAATCTTGTGTGTCTCTCGGCTATAAAACAAAAGATTTCACCATTCACTTAATCATTAATTTAGCTGTTCATTCATCCAATAATTAACTTCTAAATATGTGGCAATAAAAAGATGAAAATGAATTAAACCTTATAATCTACTAAGGGAGACAAGTAATTATAAGTAAAAAATTATAAAAGTTACAAAATTGTGCTCGGAACAGAAGAAAAGGATGATTACTTCTGACTGAGAAACAGAGAAACTTAAAGGAGAAGGTAATATTAAGCTGGGTGAAGGTAAGTAAGATTTGACAAATGAAGGAGAGAAAGTATCAGGAAAGACACACAGGTGTGAATGCACAAAGCATCTGAAGAGCTGCCTGTTGTGCAATGTGGCTGAATCCCAGAGTTAAAGGGACTGTGTTCTAGAAATAAAATTAAGTAGGAGTACAGAGATGAGTGAGAAATGATCCATTTCTCCAAAGTACTTATAAGAAATGTATACACAAATATTATAAAACTGTATGGAGTAACTGACAAGTTCTTAGACATTTTAGTTTTAGTTCTCCCTAAAATTAAAAATGCTCATAAAAGCAAATTTCTTGTATGAAATTTGGCTTTCCAAGCTAACTAGAAAATTAACAATGACCCAAGCAAACAACAACCACCAATGTACTTTTGATTCAAAGACACAAAGTAGAAAGTAAAAGAAATAGAAGAAGATGCTATGCAAACAGTAACCAAGAGGGCCAGCATAGCTATACTAATATTAAACTTTTACATAAAAATGTTATAGGTAGTTCACAGAGAGACATCCTGGGGTGGAGTGGGGGTTGGTTTGGGTGGGTGGGGTTCCTTTTTCCTTTCTGTGAATGTCATTAATCTGACAATTCTCCCTCCTCCCCACTGGCCTGTCTGCATTCCTCGTATTTGTATGGTTCAAGGAATAAAGACACTCATTTCAGGAAAAAAAAAGTTATAAAAGATAAAGATATATTTCATAATGTTAAAGGTCCTTATAACAGGAAGATATGAAATTAAAAACATATGCACCCAACAACAGAGCTTCAAAATACATGAAGCAAAATCAGACAGAATTTAAGGCAGAAATAGCTATTTCTATAATTATAGCTGGACACTTCAATACCTCACTTTCGATAATGGACAAACAACTAAGAGAATATCAACAAGGAAACAGAAGACTTGAATAATAGTATAAAATACCTAAAGAACACTCCACCCAACGGTAGCAGAAAAACACATTCTCCTCAAGCAAACCTGGAATATCTTTCAGGATAGACCATATGGTAGGCCACAGAACAAGCCTCAATACATTTGAAATAACTGAAACCATGCAAAGTATGTTTTCTAATCATAGCAGAATAAAATTAGGAATCAATAAAAGAAAATTTACAAATATGTAGAAATGAAAAGATGTACTCCTAAATAAGTGATGGGTCAAAGAATAAATCTCAAGGGAAATCAGAAAAAAAAACCTTAGAGATGAATGAAAATAAAGATATAATACAACAAAACTGATGGCATGCAGGTAAAGCAGGGCTCATTGGTAAATTTATGCACATAAATGCCTATTTTAAAAAAAAGAAAAAGATCTCACATCAAAAACTAAACCTTCCACCTTAAGAAACTGAAAAAAGAAGAGCAACTAAACTCAAAGCAAGCAGAAAGAGGACAATAATAAAGACTAGTGTGGAAATAAATGAAACAGAATAGAAAAACAAGAGAAAAATTTTAAATTGGTTCTTTGAGATGTTAAACAAAATCAACCTATAGCCAGAATGAGCAAGAAAAAACAGACTCAATTTACTAAAATCAGGAATGAAAGGAGAGACATCACTACATACCTTATAGAAACAAAAGGGATTATTAAGGAATACTATCAACAACTATATGCCCCAAATCAGATAGTTAGATTAAATGGACAAATTCTTAGAAAGACACAAATTATTAAAACCAAGTCAAGGGAAAATAGGATATCAGAATAGTTCAATAACAACTAAAGAAATTGAATTAGTAAAATCTGACTGAAAAGGAAGTAGTAAAACTACTTCCACTTGCAGATGAGATGATTCTGTGTATAGAAAATCCTAAGGAATCCACTAAAAACCTATTAGAGCTAATAAATGACTTCAGAAAGGATTCAGGATATAATATCAACATACGAAAATCAAACTAACACGAACAATCCAAAAACAAAATTAAGAAAGCTATTTCTTTTATAATAGCATCAAAAATAATAAAAATACTTAGGTATATATTTAACAAAAGTACACCACTGATACTCTGAAAGCTACACTGTTGAAAAAAATTAAAGATCTTAAAAAAAAATACCACATTCATGGACTGAAAAACTTAATATTGTTAAGATAATATTTCCTAAATTGATCTACAAATTTAATGCAAGTGCTATCAAAGTCCCAGCTCCCTTTTTTTGTAGAAATTGATAAGCTGATCCTAAAATTCACAGGAAAATGCGAAAAATCCCAAATAGCCAAAATAATCTTGAAAAAGAAGAACAAAGTCAGAGGACTCATAATTCCCAATTTTAAAACCTACTACAAAACTACAGCACTCAATGGACTGCGGTACTACCACAGCAGAAAAATATAGCTCTATATGGAATAGAATCTTGGGTCCTGAAATAAACCTTTATGTTTATCATCAATTGCTTTTTGCAATGGTACCAAGCCAATTCAATGGGGAAAAAAATAGTGTTTTCAGCAAACAGTGCTGAGGGAACTGGATATCTACAATGCAGTTGTAGATATCCAATGAAGTTGGATTCTTACTTCATACCATACACAGAAATTAAATTTAAAAGCATCATGGACCTAAAAATAAGGTCTAAAACTATGAAAGTCTCATAAAGAAGTTTACACAACTATAAAACATCTGTGTAAAAGCTACATGAATGTTCACAGTAGCATTATTCATAACAGCTGGAAAGTGAAACTAATGCAAATGTCCATCAAGAGATGAATGGGTAAACAAAATATAGGATATTCACACAATGGAATATTATTCAGGAATAAGAAGAAATGAAGTGCTGACACATGCTGCAACATGGATGAATTTTGAAAACACTGTGCTAAGAAGCCTGCCACAAAAGACCACATATGTTTGATTGCTATCATATGAAATATCCAGAATAGGCAAATCTTATAGAGACAGAAAGTAGATTAGTGTTGTCCAGAGATGGGGAGTAGGGGGTGATGTTTGGGGGTAATAGAGAGTGACTGGTAATGGGTATGAGGTTTCTTTTTGAAGGAAATATTCTAAAATTAGATTGCTGTGATAGTTGTCTGTGAATATACTAAAAACATGTACACTTTAAATGAGTGAATCTTATGGTATGTGAATTACATCCCCATAAAGCTGTTAGAATTTAAGTTGGAAGTATGACCTACTATGTGTAAATTCTGATCCTGGCAGAAAGGGGACCTCTCAGTGTTCTCAATTTCCTAGGTAAAGGGCTATCAGCTAGAACTCATAAATCACAATTTATAAAATTGAGAAGAGTTGCACAGAAATTTTCACCTAATACTATATAAATCAAAACGAGAAATACATGAGCCATATAGGAAAAATTAGAAAATAAATCTTTAAAATGCAAAAGTAAAAATGAAATCACCTTTATATTATCTGTCCTTTTTAAAATTTGAAAAAGCAGAGTTTAGCTGCTCTTTTATGTCAAATTTTAATTTTTCAGCATTCCTTCTTATTTTTCTACTTACTAACTACTTCTACTAAATGCTTGGTATATGTTGATTGCCATTAGATCAGTATGTACCACAACAGTGAATGAGGTAAAAGGATTAGAAAAAATGAGATTACTGAACTTGCAGCCATAAATATTCTACAATATGTCCAGTACTGGCAAAATATTATGAGCTTACTACTGGAAAGTTCAAAGTGAAATATGCTAAGTTATAAGCACTTCTGATTCCATGTATATACACTGCAATAGAAATAATAATACAAATAATTTGGAGATTTGAAATTTAAAAATCTGATGGTTCAACCATGAGGAATAGGAATCAGTTAATCTAGTCAAAGAAAACAAAGGATCTATAAATGGTCTGGAGAGATAAGACTATAAAGAAAGTAACTTTTCATTTTCTTCCGCCCTAATCCTCCAGACAAGTAATCAGGTTTTTTCCAGGTTCTTGGCTTAAGAAGCAGCTCAAAGTTGCCTTACTGTCACATAATTAGAATGAACTTTTATCTGAACCCAATATGTAAGAAAAGAAAGGAAACCTGTTTTCATTATTTAATTTGTTTAAAAAAGCAAAATAAATGTCATGTGTTCATGTGGTATACAATATCTAAAAGAAAACCTATGCTGTCTCAAGGAAGATGTCCTTCATATATTCCAGGTACATATGAGAATGGAAGTAGTTTAGCAGAAGCCAAGAAGTAGAAAAGCATAAGGTAATGTAAAGAAACCATGAATAGCCAAGACTGGCTGGTATGGCCTGAGTTCTAGACTAAGGAGTCTGGTCAGGCACTGGGAAGTCACTAAGGAATAAAATAAAAATTTTACTTTAGAAAAATTATTCTTGTGGTGAATATTGTCTAGACGGGGAAGAGTTAGAGGATGAGAGAGTTGTTTTAACTCTCTCCGAAAGAAGTAATAAGGACATGAATCAAGAAGTTGGGAGTAGGAAAAGCAAAGAAGAGATAGAAGTGAGAAATAATAAGAAAGAACCGACATAATGATAAACACTAAGGGCAAGGGAAAGGAAATGGTCAAGTGTGGGTGACACTGAAATGGTACTTCTAAATATAATGGAGAAAATTAGGAGGAGGATGTTACTTGGGAAAGAACTGATGACCTGGAAAACAGAAGTAAGGAGGCAGGGAAAAAATTGTAATAAGTAGCTACAAAATCATGACTGAGAATTAAGAGATAGGAGTACATGGGCAGAAAAGAATGGGGTTGAGAAGATACGAGAGATATCCCAGTGAGAAGGAAAACTATGTTAGGGGAGAAGGCAGCAGAAAATGAGCCAGTGAAGAC